AAACCATGTTGTTGGCTCTTGTGAGTGGAAGCTGGTCGGCGCTAGTCGACGCTAAATCGACAATGCTCGACGCTAGTCGAAGCCAAGCGACGATACATCGGCGCTGACTCATCGCCAATCAGACGTGACTCCACGCTAGTGCACTCCAAGGCTCCCATGATTTGCAACCGAAGTGCATCCCTCCCGCCCCCCCCCCCTGCAAGTGGCCGGCTGATGCAGGCAGGTCGTGAAGATGCACGGCTGAGGCTGCGCCTGGAGCTCTGGGGTGTCGGTATTTGTGTGCGTAGCACCCCGCACTTGCGGATAGGGATGCGGGGGCGGGCGCGGGATGGGTCGCGGGGTGGGTCGCGGGGTGGGTCGAGGGGTGGGTCGCGGGGGGGGGGGGTCGCGGGGGGGGCAAGGCCAAAAAACATCAACAACCAATAGCAACAACAACACACGCAGAACCTGGGCCACGGAATCCTATTCCACCCACGCGCCCAGGCATGGTGCAAGACCTTGCTGCCCCCTCGCTCGGACATGCATCCTCCTCCACCTCACCATCCTCCTCCTTCCTCTCGATGCTCATGCGCTGCCTGCTCAACGTATGGCAAGCTATCGCGCCCGAGGGGCACCAGTCCAGAAGGCCCCCGCCTGGCCTGCACGTCCCAAGAGGGGTGGCGGTCGCGAACGGGGGGGAGAAGTAGGAAAAGGAGGGGGTTGAGGATGAGGAGGAAGAGGAAGTGCATCTGGACAGGGAATATGACGAGGAGGAGGAGGACGAGCAGGAGAAGGATGAGGAGGAGGATGCCGAGGAGAGGAGGATGAGTTGGAGCTAGAGGAGGAGGAGGAGGAGGAGGAGGAGGAGGAGGAGGAGGAGGAGGAGGACGAAACATAAGAAGAAGACGAGGATGATGAAGATGAGGGAAAGAGAGAGGGAGAGTGAGTGAGAAAGAGAGAGAGAGAGAGAGAGACAATAAAAGAAATATCCCAGGGCAGGAACAATATACATCAGGGGCGAAGGAGGAGGAGGATGAAAAGGAGGAGAAGGTGGAGCAAGAAGAAGACTAATACTATGAGGAGGAATGGGGGAGGAGGATGGGGAGAAGAGAGGAAGCAAGACGAGTGAGGAGAGGAGAAAAGAAAGATAGAGAGAAAGTGTTGATGCTGCTGCTGCTGATGATGTTGATGATGATGGTAATGCTGATGATGACGATGCTGACTGATGACGATGATGATGACGATGCTGATGTTTATTATGCTGGTGATGATGATTATGATGGTGAAAGGGAGGAAGTGGATGAGGAGTAGGAGAGAGAGAGAGAGGACAAAAAAAGAGGCAGAGAGAGGGATACGTACGAAGATATAGGTGAGCCTGTATCTCTCTCTCTCTATGTATATTTATACTCATACCTAAGCACAACACCCGACTAACATCAAACGACCCGTGGGACCAGTGTGGCTTGTGTGACCTGTAAGACCTGTGGGACCTCTGCGGCCTGTGGGCCACGTGGGACATGTGGGGCCTGTGGGACTGCTTGGGCAGGTGGGAGCTGTGGGACTAGAGCGACCCGTGGGACCGTGGGTCCTGTGGGGGCCGTGTGACCTGTGGGGCCTGTGGGGCCCATGAAACAGACCTGCTGGACCTGTTGGACCTGTCAAACTCACGGCGCTTGCGAGGCCAGCGGAACCCGTGGGGCCTGTGCGGCCTGCGGGGCCTGTGGGATCCGTGGGGCCTGTGGCGCCTCCAGGGCCTGTGAAACCTGCGGGAACTATGGGACCTTTGCGGCCTGCAGGACCCATGGGGCCTGTGGGGCCTGAGGGACCTGTGCGACAAATGGAACCTGTGGGGTCTGTGGGGAGTGTGGTATCTGTAGGACGTGCGGGACCTGTGAGACCTGTGGGACTTCTTGGGCAGGTGGGAACTGTGGGACTTGTGCGCCTTGTGTGACCTGTGCGACCTGTGCGTCCTGGGGGACCACTGTGGCCTGCGAGACCTGTGAGACCTGCGAGACCTGTGGGACCTGTGGGACCTGTGGGGCCTGTGGATAGAAGCCTGGTGGATTCGTGAGACCTCTGGGACTTGTGGGACCTGAGAAACCTGTGACAGGGTCATGCGGGACCTGTGAGACCTGTGGGACTTGTGGGACCTGTGGGACCTGTACGACCTGCGGGGCCCTGCAGAAGGCATTGACGCGATGTCACGATTCCTGCGCAAACTGTCAGGAAGTCCCAAGCGCAGAGGGTTGCCTGGCGATCTCGGGTTCCCCGCCACCCCTACGGTGGCCGGCGTCGAGGCGAGAGCACGGTTCCTGAACAACATGTGGGGACATCATTAGCAAAATCGCCGCCGGACCGCGGAGCACACGGTCATGTGCATTTTAGTATATTCTGTTCATATGGACCGTGGCCGTCTGGATACAGAGTGTACCCGGCATTGAAGCGAGAGCACGGCTCCTGAATAACTGCTCTCGGAGGCGATGCGCACCGCAGACAGTCTTTTTTCTACAGGGGATCATGGCCGGCATTGAGGTGAGAACGCGATGCCCGCGCAAATTTTGAGGAACCCTCAAGCGAAACAGCTGCCACACGGGCTGCCGCACTGAGCGGTCTCGGCTTCTCCGTCCGCGCTGTGGGGCTCGTCTGTCCTTTTTCACCACTCTCTGAACCCTCTGGCGAAACGCTATGTGGTCGCTTCCGGAAACCCTGAACCAAAAAATGTTTTCATTCCTTGGGGGCGTATTTTCTACTTCCGCCACCTTCCGCAGCCCTCCCGCCGGCTTCCGCCGGCGGCCGCGGTCACGCTTGATTTCCGCCGACCTCCCGCCGAGGAAGAGAGGACAACGCCCTCGACCCTCGAAGGCATGGCCCTGTTTGGAACGCCTCGTGTGGGAATAGCCCATGGAGGAGTCAAGAGCGCCCCTGCACCTCCGGCCTTGCGCCAGGCTGCGGGAAACACTGTATCGTCGTGAAACCTTGGTCCAGCGTTTGTGCTGTCCGCCTCGCGTTTGCGCAGCCGGCACCCTCCGCCACGGCTCCGTTGAGCGCCCTCCCAGTGTACCAGCTGTCTACGCAAACGGAGAGATTGTCGGTCCGCGCCCGTTTCGCCTTCCTGAAGACGTGGCCCAATCCTCCACTCAGAACCTGGTGGCAGGCTCCTGGCTGATGTGCCCAGCCCACTTGATGTGAGGCACCCACGACTCATCTGGCAGGCGTCCAACATGTACCATTGTGCGTAGCGTGCAGCGCTGCGTCGTGCGACACTTCTTCTCTTGGTCCACGCTTAGAGCCCATGCTCCTGCGACTCCTGCAGCATATGACACGCTTTGGGCGGCGCCGGCATGGGACAAACGCATGCTATGCCGAAGGGGCATACGTCGCTGGCGCAGCAAATCCTTCAAGCAGGAGAATGCTGCCCATCCAGCCGAGAGTTCAACTTCCTGCCCACGTGCTTCTCCGATTCTCCCTGCTGTGGGACCTGGGCGTCGTGCCCCATGCGTGAGGATGAATGAGGAGTAAGATGATGATGACTGATGACGATGATGATGAGGATGAGGATGACATGATGATGATGATGATGATGATGATGATGATGATGATGATGATGATGATGACGGCGATGGTGATGATGATAATGGTGATGATGATAATGAGCAGGATGACGATGATGATGGTGGTGATGATGATAATGAGGAGGATGACGATGATGACGACGATGATGATGGTGGCGATGGTGATGATGCTGATGATGGTGATGAGGATGATGAGAATAAGGATGAGGATGACGATGATGATGGTGATGATGATGGTGATGATGATGATGATGATGATGATGATGATAATGATGATAATGAGAAGGAGGATGACGATGATGATGGTGATGATGATGATGAGGATGACGATGATGACGACGGTGATGATGATGATGGCGATGGTGATGATGATGGTGATGGTGATGGTGATGGTGACGACGATAACGATGACGATGATGACGATGATGATGATGCTGCTGATGATGATGATGGTGATGATGATGATGCTGATGATAAGGAAGCCTTGGGGTCTTGACGTGTCCCTGTGTCAGCCGCGCCAGGACTATGCCAAGAGGCGCCCACAAAGGACGCACGCGCCCAGCGATGTACATGAGCACGGCCCCTCGATCTGCGAGACCAGCCGCGCGATACGAACTTTCGGGTAATGCGTACTCTCGAAACCAGCGTGGATTCATGTACGTGTACTTCCTTCTTTCGCTCCTGAGCAAGGGGCGCCGATCTCAACCTGACGTCGCGGTTCCGGACACCGTGCTGCGCAGACCGAGCTGGATGGCCCAGCCTGACGCCCTGCGCAGACGAGGCCCCAACAGAATGTGCGCGCCGCACCTTCCTCCCCTATCCTCCTCCTCCTCCTCCTCCTCCTCCTCCTCCTCCTCCTCCTCCTCCTCCCTCCTCGCTCCTCCTCGCTCCTCCACCTCCTCCTCCTCCTCCTCCTCCTCCTCCTCCTCCTCCACGCCCCTCAGTGGATGAGGCGGGTGACGAGGGGGGCAAGGAGGGTAAGGAGCAGAAGCAGGCGCAGGAGTGGAGGAGGAGGAGGGGGCGAGGAGGCGGAGGAGTGCGAGGAGGCGGAGGAGGAGGAGGAGGAGGAGAAGGAGGAGGAGGAGGAGGAGGCAAAGGCGAGGAGGAGGACGAAAAACGCGAGAGAGATCTCAACCGAGAGCCCTGCGCACGCAAGCGTTCGTGCATGCCCACGCGCGAGCGCATAGTTCCTTTGCCGCTCCTGTTCTGTCAGCCTTCCTACCTTCTGACCCCTCCTCCTCCTCTGCGTACTGCATGCTGCTCCTGTTGCCGCTGCTGCTGATCCTCCACCTGCAGCCCCTGCTCCTTCTCTTCATTTGTACTGTCCTGTCCTACCGAGCTCGTGAGCTTGGAAGGTGAGTTGGGACATCGGAGGACCAAGGAAAGGAGCGGACAAGGATACGTAAGCGAGGGGGCGGGCATGGCGAATCAAGAAAAACGGCGCCCGCGTCCTGTTTGCTGTCCATGTTCCACTCCGGATATAGCAGATGCTCAGGCCTTCCCCCTTCTGCGGGGAACTCCGTACTGAGCTGGAAACGACTCCCATCACAACCTGTCTGCACGCAAATCTCCGCTGCTGCTGCTGCTTCTTCTCCTCTTACTCCTCCGCGGTTCCTTTGACATTCTGCCTCGGAACTTTGCCCATCATGCTGCGGTTGCACCTCCACTGTGCGTATGGATGGCTTCGATCAAGATGCTCGCTTGCTCATGCTTCGAAGAATCCTCATATGCCTCTTCTCCAATTTGCTCCACAACGCATGCTGAACTGGGACAGGACGAGAACCACGTGCGACGATTCGACACTTCCTTCTGCTTTGGGAAGCGCACGAGTCTCCTGGCACAGGGTTGCACCGTCTTTTTCGGAAAGTCCAGGTTGTAAATGGGGCATCCCTCCTCCTTCTCCTCCCCCTCGCCCTTCTCCTCGGCAGCAGTGTAGCAGTGGCTGCCGCACAATCTACGACAAGAAACCACAGCGACCTCGGAAGGGGCTCCGTGGCCGGCATCCTGGAGAGGCGCCGTAAGCCAGGCAATGCCCACGACGAGAAAAGGAAACGGTGGATCGCAGAGGAGAGGGCGGGGGAGAAGGATAAGCATGATGAGGCTGAGGAGGGTGAGGATAGAGGTCTCACAGCAGGAGGCTGAGAAGGGGGAGGACGGGGAGGAGGAGGAGGAGGAGGAGGAGGAGGAGGAGGAGGAGGAGGAGGAGGAGGAGGAGGAGGAGCGGGAGGAGGATCAACCTGATGAGGCTGAAGAGGTCATGATGGTCTAGGCAAGCCCGCGGGTCGGGCTCCGCATTTTTTCAAAAAGCCATGCGGAGAGCATTGATAGGGATGGGGGATGAGCGCCTCTTGCAAGAGCGTATGACCGACGCCACCGTTGGCGTACCGATGGCAAACAGAGAGCCTCATTGATGTGGGGCCTCCATTGCCCCACACGTGTCAGCTAGGAGTCAGCATCAACAGGTCACAAGCTAGGTCTTGGAAACACTGGCCAGAACATCAATTTCTTAGACACATCGAACGCACCACCATGCGGGCAACACGCGAACACACCGATGACTTCGCTCTTGCACTGCACTGGGCAAGGGGCGGGCCATTGAGTATGAATTTCGTGGAGGTTTTGAAGTTGCCTGTACCGCTGGAAGCTCAACGACTTGCTCTAACCATGCGACGAAATGAACGGTCTCAAGCGCCCGCAAACACTACAATACGTCCATTGAGTTCTGGCTTTCCCATCTCAGACTACTTATTCGTAGATACTCCCACTCTGTTTCACTTGAGGCTTCCTTTCGACATTGTACTCCGAATCTCAAAAACATCCAACACCTACACAATGGCGGGCTGGTCGTTATCAAATGCGGCTCTCGCTTGAGCCTTGGCGCCGCACACACACACGTTTCAAAAACTCCGACACCTGCAAGGATGGCAGGCTGGCGATTTGCGAACTGCGGCCCTCGCTTTAGCGCCGATCATATGTGTATCAACATATTTCAACGACTGTACGTTTTCAAAATGCTTCTCTCGCTGGAGACCTCCGCTGATCCTACAACCCGCAATTCCGGACGGTGCAATGGTGACACGACTGGGGCCGGCTCCTGCTCAGACCGGGGCTCTCGCTGGAGGCCTCCGCAGATTTCACGTCCGGGGCAATGCGGGTCTGCAGCGCAGACACCGATGGATGCCAGGTCCCCTTCAACACGGGGGCCTATCGCTGGACACTTCCGCGAGCCTTACCATCCTTTCTCTTCGTGCTCGTTCGAGCTAGAAGGATGGACGGGGGCCCTTTGCAACACGGGACTTCGCCGCAGTGGCAGGTCCGCGGGGCGATCGACATTCAGGGGGGGGGGGGGGCGCGGCGGGGGGGTGTATTGCAACATCGTCCATGCAGCCTGAATGTACTCGGGTCGTCGTCCTCCTCCTCTACTTCTTGTTCCTCGTCCTCCTCCTCCTTATCCTCCTCCTTCTCCTCCCCTTCCTCCCCCTCCTCATCCTCCATATCCACCTTCTCCTCCTCCTCCGCCTACTTCCTTACCTCATCCTTCCCTCGTGCTGCCTCACTCTCCCTCCACCTCGCCCTCTCCCTCCCCCTCCTCCTCCTCGTCCCCACCATATCCCACCAAGCCGACTTGATCTGCTCGTCCGCCGCCACCACGTCAGCCACCTAACACTGGGCGCGAGGCTCGGTTAGGGAACGCATGCTGGCAGGGTGGGGGGAAGGGGAAGGGGGAGGATGGGGAAATATGGGGGACATGGAGGGGGGGAAGATACTGGAGCAGGGGGAAGAAGTGGAGGAGGTGGAGGATGAGATACATACTTTTCGTAGGATGACGGTACAGGCGTACGATGAGAAGAGAGGAGGAGGGGGAAGAGGAGGACAAGAGGGGGAGTAGGAGGACATCGGATGGAGGAGGGCAAGTGGGACGGGAAAAAGGCAGGGAGGGAATAACACAGTGGAGGATGACGAGGAGGACCAAGGGGAGGCATGGACGGCCTGGCGGAACCGCAGGCCGGGACCGCAAGACTAAATTAAGGGAAGAACAATTCAGCTCGCCGCTCTACGCGGTCGTCGCTCTCGTGCGGCATAGAGCATCGCGCGCGCACCCAGACATCAGAGGGGGGCCTGTCCAGTGTTTTTCGCCCCTCGGCGCGGCTCTTTTCGGAGGCCGCGTGCCGAGGGACAGGATCGGGTCAAGAACCGGAGGAGGAGGATGAGGAGGAGGAGGAGGAGGAGGAGGAGGAGGAGGAGGCGGAGGCGGAGGAGGAGGAGGAGGAGGAGGAGGAGGAGGAGGAGGAGGAGGAGGAGCCCACGAACCGCATATTCAATTTCGGTGGCTTGTGAGCTGCGGGTGGACGGGTGCTCCGAACGGCCTTTACATCTATCTCCAAGGCCTCGCTCGTCCCCGTTGGGAAGAATAGGGAACGCTGAGCGCAGGGTGCAAACGAGCACGCGGCCAGACTGCTCCATTTCATGGCCGAGGGCCCCGAAACGCTCTTGCAGCACCGTCGAGGGCGGTGCCTGCCCATCCCCCAGCTCGGGCCCCAGGACCCCCTCAGCGGCCTCACGGGCCAGAGGCACCGCCCTCGAGGACATGGGGAGAACCTCTCCTCTTCCCGATCAGCGAAGACAGCCGTCGCTTCCCATCGCTGAGAGGTTGAGGGTCCGCAAGCACGCCTACTTCATGTCTGCAGCTGGGCAAGGGAGGCGGGCGTCTTAGCATACTGGTTGCACACTTTACAGCGTCATTCACCGAACGCAGGGAAGTGGAACAACGTGTGCTCCAACATAGCCAAGGAGTCCTTAATCTGCCTGCTTGGGGTCGGACGCACGGGTACGGCGGACGGGGCCGAGAGCTCCTCGGCCAGCCCCACGATCGCCTGCGAGATTCTCACAAGAAAATCAAAAAAGGTGAGCTGAGTGTCCTTGATATTCGCGGCCTGCCACTTTACAAGTGTGTCGAAGACGAGGAGGAGGACAGGGATGACAGGGAAGAGGAGGATGAGGAGGAGGAGGAGGAGGAGGAGGAAGAGGAGGAGGAGGAGGAGGAGACAAGCTGCAAAGGCGAACGACGCGACGAGCTACAACGGCGAAATAAAACGCGACGGTGTTTGAGCGTTTCGAACTCCGTTTTTAGGCCCGCCGCTGCAGCTCACCATGTTTTCGCGTTTTTGTTTGTTTGTTGGGTTTTCTGGTCGGAGGCCGTTCCTTGTCTTCCCTGCCGTCATACTCCCATTGTTCGTTTCTGCCGCCGTTCTCTTCCTCGAAGCAAGAGAAACGCAAAACAACAAACGCTGTAACACTGGTCTAACATTTTTTGACCGAACAGAATCTCGCTTTAGCGCCGCGGAACATGCGCCTGACATGTTTGCAACCATCCCACGGATGGGGTACAGCTTCTCATCGCACTGGGGCGCTCGCTCGAGCCTCCCTCGACGTTTACGGCCAGGTGCGCAAGCCTGCGCTGCGTTTGCACGGGTTTGGGGCGCTGCATTCAAACGGTGATATCGCTGGAGACCTCGTTGGTCTGTATGACAACAACCTTTCGCAATCCTGACTACACGCTCGAAGACTGCTCGCCCGAATGACATACCAACGGTGTGCCGGTTTTTTTCGGTGGCGCTTCCTGCAGCGAAGGGGAAGGCGCGGATGGACTCACGAGGGGGGGACTTGGAAAGAGGGGAGGTTTGTGCAGCATCGCTGATGCATCTTGGGTTCAAGTAGATGTCCGTTAGTGATTCACAGAAACAAGCCAAGCGTATGATCATGCAAATGGTTGGCCTGCTCGGGCGAATCGCAAGGGGACGCCCGCCAAATGAAAACGCACCGCGGCGCCGCCGGTGATTAGCGCCGACACCTGGCCGCCAGCTGGAGGGCGACAGGCGCGACGCCAGCGGCGCCGCTTCAGCGGGGGGGACCAGCAACGCCTCCGCTACAGCGGGGCGGTTGGAAGGGACGCCTCGCAAATGGCGGGCGGTGCCGACATGGTGACAGACAGGCACGGGCAAAGCGGGGAGGAGCGGGAGAGGCAGGCGGCAACGGCTCCTCCTTCTCTTCCTCCCCCCCCCCCTCCCCCCCCTCTCCACTACAAGGTGCCCACTGGGGGGCGGGGTGCTGCACCCCGTTGGAGTCGACGACGGCGAAGGCGACGAGGCTGACGAAGGAACGACCGACGGCGCGCGCGCGCTGCGGATGCCCCGCAGGGGGGTGGATGCGCAGGGCCGCCGTGGACGACGACGACGGCGACGACGACGACGACGACGACCACGACGACGACGACGGCGACGTCGAGGATGACGCACTGCGGATGCCCAATTGGCGGGGGGGGCTTCTTAGGCCAGCTGTTAGAATCGACGACGACGGCGACGACGGACGACGGCGCGCTGCCGATGTCCCATGGGGGGGGGGCTGCGCAGGCCCGCTGTAGTCGATGACGACACCGACGACGACGACGACGGACGACGCGCTGGGGACGCCCCATGGGGTGTGGGTGGGTGGGTGAGTCGTCGACGACGACAACGACGACGACGATGACGGCGATGACGACAACGACGATTGTGGCACGTCAGTGCTCAGCCTGAGAGGGAACGGACCACCTTCGCCTGGGATGTATACGACCCCTACATACGAAACGCAATCGTTTTGGGGCTGCCGCGCATGGCGGGGGGCGCGATCCCCTCGGGGGCGCCCGCGGCGACCCCCTGGCGCGCGTGATGAAAAGCTTCGTTTCGCGCCCGCGGGGTCTATTCATCAGCCATGGGGCGGGGGGGGGGGTCCTCAATTGTCAATCACAAGCTGACGTTATTCTGGGTTCCCTCCTCCTCCTCCTCCTGCTGCTCCTTCACTTCCTTCACCTCCTTCTCCTTCTCCTTCTCCTTCTCCTTCTCCTTCTCCTTCTCCTTCTCCTTCTCCTTCTCCTTCTTCTCATCCTCCTCCTCCTTCTTCTCCTCCTCCTTCTTCTTCTCCTCCTCCTCCTCTTCCTCCTCTTCCTTTCTCCTCCTCCTCCTCGTCCTCTTCCTCCTCCTTCTCCTCCTTCTCCTCCTTCTCCTCCCTCTCCTCCTCCTCCTCCCCCTCCCTCTCCTCCTCCTCCTCCCCCTTACTCCCTCCCTCCTTCAGTCCATCCCTCCCTCCCTCCCCCCTCTCCTTTTCTTTTGCCACCGACGGATATGCCCCAGAAGCAAGAATGGGGCCACGGGGCGGGACACCCTCGCACCGTCCTGTCCTCCCCCTCCCCCCCCCCCCCCGCTCCGCCTTCCTTATCATCCTCGTCGTCCTCTCCTCCTCCTCCTCCTCCTCCTCTTCCTCCTCTTCCTCCTCCTGCTTCTCGTGTCCTCGTCCTCATCCTCGTGTTCTTCCTCCTCCTCCTCCTCCTCATCCTCTTCGTCCTTCTCCCCCTCGTCCTCCTCGTCCTACCCGTCCTCCTCGTCCTCGTCTTCGTCCTCAACCTCGTCCTCCTCCTCCTCCTCCTCCTCCTCCTCTGCCGTTTCGCCGTCGGCCCCCGATCTCGCGAGGCAGGCTTCTCCGGCGCCGCCTGGTCCAGGATCTGCGCCCGCTCGTCGCCGCCGGGCGCCGCGCCGCCCGCCGCCGTGCCGCCCTTGCCCTTGTAGGCTCCCTGGGAGGGGGGCACCGGCGGGGCTCCGCCCGCCGCCGCTCCGCCTGTCTCCTCGCCCTTCTCCTCGCACTCCTCCGTCTCCACCTGCACGCCCTCGTCCTCCTCCGCGCCCTCGTCCTCCTCGTCGTCGTCGTCCTCCTCCTCCTCCTCGTCCTCCACGCCCTCGTCCTCCGAGTCCTCCACGCCCTCGTGTTCTCCTCCACGCCCTCGTCCTCCTCTTCGACTTCGTCGTCGTCGTCGTCCTCCTCCTCCTCCTCCTCCTCCTCCTCCTCCTCCTCCCCGCCTCCTCCCCTTCCATCCCTCTGCCTTGAAAATGGCGCCTTCCTGTCGCACCTCGAAGCGTTTCGACAGGGCGGGCCGGGCGTTTCGCCTAAGACTTCCCCACCAAATGTGGTCCTGAAGCCTCAAGTTTGCAACAGTTTCACGGATGGAGGGCGGGCCGTTTTCAAAATGTGGCTCTCGCCTCACCGCCGCGCAACTTGATCTTTAACTTTCGTAGGAGTTTCACTGATGGAAAGAAGGCGGATTTCAAAATGTGACCCTCGCCTGAGCGCCGCGCGCATTCGTCCTAAACACCGGCAAGAGTTTCACGGATGGGAGGCGGTTCCTTTTCAAAATGTGGCTCTCGTCTTAGCACCGCGCACCCTCGTCTTTAGACTTGACATCAGTTTCAAATATAGTCATGGCTGACGTCCCAGGAACGGTGTTCTTGCACGATGTAGGACTGTCAAGACGCAGCCGTTACGTTGATTCGCGGTCTTGAATTCCCAGGAATGGTGTTCTGGCGCGAACCAGGATCGCCAGGAAGCAACAGTAATGTTGATTCGCGGCGTTGATGTCCCAAGAACGGTGTTCTGGCACAGTTCACGATTCTCAAACAGTTGTCTTCCAACGGGGCACTTCCCTCAGTGAAATTGAACCCTTGTAGGGGCTTGCGAAACAGGAACTTGGGGGGAGGGTTCATTGCAAAATCGCTGGCGGAGCTCGAGTTTACATAGGTCTCTCCTTTCTTCTCCTCCAACTCCCCCCTATTCCCCCCTACCTCCTCCCCTACCTCCTACTCCCCACCTCCTCCCCCCTACCCCCTACCCAGTGCGTCAGGCTAGGCCTAAATGTTTGCGCGAAGTGTTCTTGCCCAGCTCCCACCACCGCCCCCTCCAGCTCCTCGAAGATTTCGTCGGGGGGGGGCCTGGTGGTAGAGAAAACCAAATGGAAGTCTCTGGAATTCCCTCTTGGCAACCTCGAGGAACTCCGCCCGTCCCGTGCCCCGCCTCAAAGAGTCCATCATGGCCGAGCGGTTCCAAGTCAGTTGAGGCGGCTGCGTCGGGGGGTCGCCTCCCCCCTTCCAGAACGGGAGCTCCAGGTGGATGGGAAAGTGGTCCTTGGGAGCGGGGACTCTGTGCGCTTGTAGCTTTGCACCGAATCCCAAGAGCGGCCGACAACACGTGACCTTTTCGATGAGCCCCCTGGGGTACCCGGTGTGGTCGATACGAGTCCCAGAACCACTAAGAGGTAGGTGAGAAGAACGTCGGGATGGGTTTCATAGTGAGGGTATTGCCTGCCACCAAGTGGTGGGCTTCCAGCACCCCCCGAAAACATATGTCCTGCGCCTCGGCGCAATCGTTCTCTGGAAGGGTATTTGACTGCAAGAGAAGTCAGTACGTGCCAACCCTCCTGGCCCCACGATTCCCCTATGCCGTCGTTCATGTCTGTGAAGACGAACGGTATGCATCTGAACGGCAATGTCGAGAGGACGTCGCCAAGCCAATTCGATATCAATTTTACTACGCGAAAATACCCACTACGTGCCGCACGAACAGGTTGATGGGGGATACTATATTGAAATCAAGCACGCGTCCACGGGTCCGTTCTTAATGCGCACTGCGATACACCGCCCTCCCGCCCCAGCAGGGCTGGGCCACACACGTTTGATATTCGACTCCGTCACCCCCGACGGCAATACTACCGAGCACCTACAACTCCGATTCGAGAAAGCCTCCGAGGTGGCGGGCGCCTCCAAGACAAGACGTCCAAGGACTCGACGACGAAGGACCTTCTGTTCCGCCAACCTGCTAGAGCACTGGGTCCCTGCGAGGAAAATGAAATCATGGTTGCCCGTCTCGGCCACGACTTCCTCCAACCGTGCCCCCGTCGCTGCTAACGGATGGAGCCCCAGAATACGCAAGGTCTTCGCTGCAAGACACCAGCCGCGCATGAGTTGTGTGGGCACCCCAACGAAGTGTACGTTACACGGTGTGCCTCGCCCCCTGACGGACGAAAAAAAACTCGGACCAGGGGGGCTGGAGGAGGAGGAGGAGGAGGAAGAGGAGAAGGAGGAGGAGGAGGAGGAGGAGCGAGGAGGAGGAGGAGGAGGACGAGAAAGATGAGGAGGAATAGGACCAGTGTAAGCCGAAGACGCGCCAACGATGTTGCAATAACCCCTCCCTACAAGCTCCCCCTTCATAGGCCCCTATAAGAATATGTTTCCACTGCGGGAAATGCACCGTTGGAAGACAACCGTCTGAGAATCCGCTGACCCTGTCGGCGTGAGTGAGGAGTTTAACTGTTCAACTCGGGTTCCGTTGGTGTCGTTCAAGAAGCCAAACCTTTCTAGGGCCTAACCGACATCCGACGACCCTGACATCCGTCAAGCCTGTCAGCGACAGAAGAACCTAGCAATGTCGCAATCGAATCGAAAGGAAACCCCTTCCCTTTGATCCCTCCCCAGTCGGGTGGGGGTGGGGGTGGGGGTCAAGCTAGCCAGCTCGAGCGAGTCAAGCATGGCATGCCCATTCCCACCCGCCCTCCCACAACATAAGAAACAGTGATGGCACAACTAGGGTTTGCGCGGGCATTTCAGTGCGAGTGGAGGATACCCCAAGACACCGCATTGACGTCCACGCGGGATGTGCGCCGCGCCCCATTCCCGCCACGAGTTTCGCAACGTCGACGACAAGACTGGCCATGTTGAAAGGAACAACGGACACGTTCCGCCCTCCCACAACATAAGAAACAATGCTGGCGCAACTGGGTGCTGGCGCGTAGTAGTAGTAGTAGTAGTAGTAGTAGTAGTAGTAGTAGTAGTAGTAGTAGTAGTAGTAGTAGTAGTAGTAGTAGTAGTAGTAGTAGTAGTAGTAGTAGTAGTAGTAGTAGTAGTAGTAGTAGTAGTAGTAGTAGTAGTAGTAGTAGTAGTAGTAGTAGTAGTAGTAGTAGTAGTAGTAGTAGTAGTAGTAGTAGTAGTCGTAGTAGTAGTAGTAGTAGTAGTAGTAGTAGTAGTAGTAGTAGTAGTAGTAGTAGTAGTAGTAGTAGTAGTAGTAGTAGTAGTAGTAGTAGTAGTAGTAGTAGTAGTAGTAGTAGTAGTAGTAGTAGTAGTAGTAGTAGTAGTAGTAGTAGTAGTAGTAGTAGTAGTAGTAGTAGTAGTAGTAGTAGTAGTAGTAGTAGTAGTAGTAGTAGTAGTAGTAGTAGTAGTAGTAGTAGTAGTAGTAGTAGTAGTAGTAGTAGTAGTAGTAGTAGTAGTAGTAGTAGTAGTAGTAGTAGTAGTAGGTAGTAGTAGTAGTAGTAGTAGTAGTAGTAGTAGTAGTCGTAGTCGTAGTAGTAGTAGTAGTAGTAGTAGTAGTAGTAGTAGTAGTAGTAGTAGTAGTAGTAGTAGTAGTCGTAGTAGTAGTAGTAGTAGTAGTAGTAGTAGTAGTAGTAGTAGTAGTAGTAGTAGTAGTAGTAGTAGTAGTAGTAGTAGTAGTAGTAGTAGTAGTAGTAGTAGTAGTAGTAGTCGTAGTAGTAGTAGTAGTAGTAGTAGTAGTAGTAGTAGTAGTAGTAGTAGTAGTAGTAGTAGTAGTAGTAGTAGTAGTAGTAGTAGTAGTAGTAGTAGTAGTAGTAGTAGTAGTAGTAGTAGTAGTAGTAGTAGTAGTAGTAGTAGTAGTAGTAGTAGTAGTAGTAGTAGTAATAGTAGTAGCTCTGAGTCGCCGAAAGATCGCTCCAAGACGCCCAAGATGGCCCCCAGACGGCCGTAGCGCCAAGAAACCGCGGGGAGACTCAGGAGGCCCTCCAACAGCCAGAACAAACAAAAAACTCCCAGGCATTCGTCACCCCAGGGCCTCCTGGAACGCCCCGGCGCCCAATGAATTGGCGAGCTAAAAACGTGCGCCGAGCCAAAGCGGGAGCGCAACTTTGAGAGAATTTCGCTCGGCGCCCAGGCGAGAAGGTCATTTCATTCACTTCGAGCGGGGGGGGGGGGCCGCGCCCAATTCTTGCCATGCACTTTTGCGGGGTGGACGACAAGAACAGCTGTGTGCAAGCGAAAATCAGCATGGCATTGCTTCTGACAAGTAAGGTGGCCCCTCCCGCCTTGGGGTTGCCCCAGAAGTCCGCGCGCGATGTGCGCCGCGCCCCATTCCTGCCACGCATTTCGCATCGTCGACGACAAGACAGGCCATGATAAAAGGAAAAACGGCAACTCTATATTGTTTTTTACAGTCAGGATGGGAGGGCCCGCAGCCCGCATGGACGTCCGCGCGCGATGCGCGCCGCGTCCCATTCCTGCAACATATTTCGCACCGTCGGCGACAAGGCAGGCCATGCTGAGAGGAAAATACGGAGACTTTGTATTGATTTTTTACAGTCAGGATGGGCGGGCCCGGATTGACGGCCGCGCGCAATGTGCGCCGCGTCCCATATGTGCGCCGCGTCCCACTGCTGCCACATATTTCGTACCGTCGGCGACAAGGCAGGCCATGCTGAGATGAAAAACGAAGACTTTGCATTGATTTTTTACAGTCAGGAAGGGCGGGCCCAGATTGACTGCCGCGCGCGATGTGCGCCGCGTCCCATTCCTGCCACGCTTTTCGCATCGTCGACGACAAGAAAGGCGACGTTGAGAAGACAAACGGCCAGTTTGTATTGATTTTTTACAGTCCGGATGGGAGGTCCCGGATTGGGTCGCTATCGGCCGGAATACGACGTAGGTGGGGGTATATTCTAATAAGGAACAAGGATGGGGGGGCGGGGGATTAAATACGCATCCTCCCCTGGGGGTTCCGGGGTTGGAACACATGCCCAAACAAGCCCAGAGTGCCACAAGAGGCCTCCGAGAGCGTCCAAGAGGGCCCCCACCCCGAGTTGCCCCCCTCTCCAAGTATCCCTCCTCTATATCCCCCTCCTGCTCCTATTCCGCACTATCGTCGACCCAACCCCGTCATATCTCTCCTTTCCACGTCCCCCTGCACTCCCACCCAGTGCTCAGCCCCCCCCCCCCCCCCATCAACCTCTGCCTCCACATCCCCGTACTCCTCCACATGATCGCCACCCTCCTCCTGCTTCTCCTCCTCCTCCTCCTCCTCCTCCTCCTCCTCCTCCTCCTCCTTCTCTTTCTTCACATCCTCCACCTCCTGGGCGTCGTCTTCCGCCTCCTCCTCATGCGGCTCCTCCTCCTCCTCCTCCTTCTACAGCGTCGTGGTCAGCGTCGTCGTCTTTAGGGTCGGCGGCACCGGCCGTAAGGCCTTCGCAATCTTCAATCGTGCCAAAACGCAATTCCTGGGACTTCTACGCCGCGAATCAACTTTATTGCTGCGTCCTGACGATCCTGAGTCCTGACAGAGCACCATTTCTAGGACTTCGACACCGCGAATTAAAGTGACAATCCTAGGTCGTGCCAGAACACAACTTCTGGGACGTCAGCCATAAGAAACAATGAAACTGTTGCAGACTATTCAGACGAATGTGCGCGGTGCAGAAGCGAGGGCCGCATTTTGAACACCACCCGCCCTCCATCCGTCAAACGCCTGTACCCTTTAAAAGGCGAGTGTGCGCGGCGCTAATGCGAGACCCGCATGTTGAAAACTACGCGCCCTCCATCCGTGCAGTTGTTGTAAACTTTACGGATGTGCGCAGCGCACTGGCGAAGACCATATTTTGTAAACCACCCGCCGACGAATGTGCGCGGCGCACAAGCGGAAAAACACATTTGGACCCACCCGCCCTCCATCCATAAAGAGGTTGTATTTTTCAATCGAAATTCGCGACGAAATTCGCGCGGCTCTTGGGCAAAAACCACATTTTGAAAGCCATCAGCCCTCCTATCAGTGAAATTGTTACAAACGTTTGGGACGAATGTGCGCGGCGCTAAGCAGAAAGCCGAATCTTGAAAACCACCCGCCCTCCATCTACGAAGCCCTCCTAACCTTTTAAGACGAATGTGCGCGGCGCTTGGGCGAGAGCCACATTTTGGAAATCACCCGCTCCACACCCGTGAAATTGTTGCAAGCTTTTGTGGCGAATGTGCGCGGCGCTTAGGAGAGAGCCACATTCTGAAAACGGCCCGCCCTCCCCCAGTGAAGTTTTGGCGCACTTTGAACTTCAAGTTCGCACATGGTAAAGAATTATCAAGCGAAGCGCCTGGCTGGCCTTGCAGACACAGCTCGGGGTGCGACAGGGAAGAGTTATTGATAAGGGACAAGACTGGAGGAGGAGGAGGAGGAGGAGGAGGAAAAGGAGGAGGAGGGAGGAGGGAGGAGGGAGGTTGGAGGAGGGAAGAGGGATGTTGGAGGAGGGAGGAGGGCGGAGGAAGAAGAGAGGAGGGAGGAGGAAGGAGGAGCGCAGCGTAGAAGGGGAGGAGGAAGGAGGAGGAGGAGGAGGAGAAGGAGGAGGAGGAGGAGGGGGAGGAGAAGCAGGAAGAGGAGGAGGACATGGAGCCGTTCGGGCGGGGCCCTGTGCAACCACCGTGAAGCCTGACTCACAGGTGCCTCTGAGGGAGGGGTCCTAGGGGCGGGATACATTGTAAGCGTCAGCAGGTCGATTCCACGGGGACATTTGCTGCCTGACGTAGGCAAGAGCTCCCTAGTGCCAGCGATCATGGGGGACGGCAGAGCATCCACGACCGATACCAGCGAATCGATGTCAGATGCTGCGAGCAAAAACCCGCACATCCGATGTCTCGACTTTTTCGCCACGGGGTCCTGGCGAGAACTCCCAGATGCCGAAAGCGGGCAAAAACCGTCCGTCGTGATTTTTCTCCACGACGCGAGCATGCCTGGGGATACCAACGGGCTCCAGATATCCAGAGCAATGACCGTACTAATGAGCAGAAGTCGGGGGCGGCCAAGAGGGGTGCGTCCGAGAGGGGGGGGGGCGCAAATCATGGCCGGCGGCATGTGCACGGCCCAGGGGGGGGGGGGCCGTGGACGCCTTGAAACACAAAGAGGCGTCATGAAATCTGGGGAGATATCATGACCACCGCCATGATATTCCCCCCCCCCCCCCCCAGTCATCACCCCTCTCTTGGCCGCCCCCGAAGAAGAGGCGGGTAAGCCTTGCCGCCTTTGCGCGAGCCGGTCGCCTTGACGTCGAACACCTCCGCTCTGCGAGCGGGAATTGGGCAGCCCCCAGCGGCGAGCACGTCGCTTCGGTCAAGGTCCGCTGCCCTTCACTTCCCATCGCCTCCTTCTCATGCTGCGGCTCATCCGTCTCTGCCACCTGTCCTACTCACCCTCACCTTCCTCTTCCTCCTCCTCCTCCTCCTGCTCCTTCCGTTCGTCGTCGTCGTCCTCTTCGTCGTCGTTATCGTCGTCGTCGTCGTCGGTACCGTCGTCGTCGTTGTTTTCATCGTCGTCATCTCCAGCTCCTCATCCATTATCTTCCTCATACTTCTCCTGCTGCTGCCGCTGCTCCACCTGATCGTCGATCACCGCCAATGATGCAATTACCCATCTTCGATGATTTCAAACGATTCCACGCCCTCAGGATGGCAACAGGATGCGCTGAACAGAGTGGTCAGAACCTTCATGTGGAGTCATGATATCCGGATCAAAAGGGTGGCAGGTGGGGAAGGAGAGGAGGAGGAGGAGGAGGAACAGGAGAAGGGGGAGGTGGAGGAGGTGAGGGAGGAGGAAGAAAAGGAGGATGAGGATGAGGAGGATGAAGAGGTGGATAGAAATTGGGTAAGGAGTTGGGTATAAGACGAGTATGATGAGGCGGGCGGAGGATGAGGAGGATGGGTGACGGGGAGGAGGGCGATGATGATTCTGCTGCTGATGATGATGATAGTGATGCTGATGATGACGACGATGATGATGATGCTGATGATGATGCTGCTGATCCTGATGATGATGATGATGCTGACGATGATGTTGTGTTGATGAGGCTGATGATGCTGAGGATGAAAAGGATAAGGAGGATGATGATGCTTATGCTAATGCTGATGCTGATGACGATTATGATGATGTTGATGCTGATGATGCTGATGATGATGATGCTGATTATGATTATGATGATGACTAGAACCACGCGCGCGCTTCGCGCGCGCTTAGGTTCTAGCTAGGAGGCGAGCTTGAGTCAACGAAAGTCGCAGGGAAGGGGGCAGGGGGAAGAAGGCCAGAGAGCGCTGAAGGATACAAATACTGGAACCCTCTTGTGATTTTGTGGGGGGCCTCGTCCGGCCGCTCGCTGGGAGTTTGACGTAGCTTCTCGGGAGCCTCTGAACCTGTCGGGGGCCTCCTGGAAGCAGGTTCGAAGCATTTTGGGGGCCGATTTGGGGCTTCTCGGGGCCTCCTTTGGGCCTCTTGGGGGTCTCCTGGGGCCTCTTGAGGGGCCTCCTTGGGGCCTCCTGGCGGCCTCTTGGGGCGGAAGGCTCGAGCTTGCGGTTCGTGGTCCCCCTCTGGGCCCCCTCTTGGGCCCGTCTTGGGGCCCTCTTGGGCCATCTTGGGCGCCTCTTGGGCCGTCTTGGGGCCCTCTTGGGCTGTCCTGGGGCCCTCTTGGAAGCTTCTTGGGCCGTCTTGGGGCGGTCTTGGAGGCCTCTTGGGCCGTCTTGGACGCGGTGAAAACCCAAGATGCGAACATGCGAAAATATACGTTTCCCATAGGAATGGCACGATTTTTGTTTCTTGGACCTCTCTTGGGGTGCCTCTCGGAACGTCTTGGGCTGATTTTGGAAGCCTTTTGGCGCCTCTGGGCGGCGTTTTGGCGCCTCCTGGGATATGTTGGGCCGGAAGCTCGGAATTCGAGAGTGGCTTTCTCCTTCTGGGACCCCTCTCGAAGTCGTCTTGGGGTTCTCTTGGGCCGTCTTGGGGCCGTCCTGAGTCACTCGTGCGCAGCCTTGGAGCGCTCCCGGAAGCCTCCTAGGCCGTCTTGGAGGCCTCTTGGGCCGTCTTGGACGCGGTGAAAGCCCAAGATGCGAACATGCGAAAAATATACGTTTTCCCATAGGAACGGCACGATTTTTGTTCCTTGGACCTCTCTTGGGGTGCCTCTCGGAACGTCTTGGGGTGCTTTTGGGAGCCTTTTGGCGCCTCTTGGCGGCATTTTGGCGCCTCCTGGAGCCTCTTGGGCCGGAAGCTCGGAATCCGAGGTGGGCTTTCTCCGTCTGGGACCCCTCGCGAACTCGTCTTGGGGCTCTCTTCGGCCGTCTTGGGGCCGTCCTGGGCCACTCGTGCGCAGCCTTGGAGCGCTCCCGGAGGCCTCGTAGACCGTCTTGGGCGCCTCTTGGGCCGTCTTGGACGCGGTGAAAGCCCAAGAGGCGAACATGCGAAAAATATACGTTTTCCCATAGGAATGGCACGATTTTTGCTTCTTGGGCCTCTCTTGGGCTGCCTCTCGGAGCGTCTTGGAGGCTTCTGGGACCTTCTTGGTGTCATGACAGGCGTCTTGGAAGGCATCTGGAGCCATCGGAGCGCGTTCCGAAGCCGCCTGCGAACGATCTTGGACGGCGTCCGGCGGTCCGACGAGCCTCCGGGCCCCCCGGGGCCCACATTTGTGGTCGGGGTCCCGGCCCCGGGCCCCCGGACCCGGTGCGCCGTTATATGTATATGATGCTGATGATGACGATGATGATGTTGATGATGATGCTGATGCTGATGCTGCTGCGATGATGATGATGATGATGATGATGATGATGATGATGATGATGATGATGATGATGATGATGATGATGATGATGATGATGATGATGATGATGCTGATGATGATGATGATGATGATGATGATGATGATGATGATGATGATGATGATGATGATGATGATGGCTGATGATGATGATGATGATGATGATGATGATGATGATGATGATGATGATGATGATGATGATGATGATGATGATAAGGACGACGACGATGATGATGATGTTGTTGATGATGACGACGATTATGATGATGCTGATGATGCTGCTGCTGATGATTCTGGTGATTCTGTTAGCGGTGATGATCATGAGGTTGATGGTGCCGATGAGGATGATGACGAATCTGATGGTAGTGTCGCACCCCGCAATTGCAGAAAAGAATGATGGGGTCGGTCGCGGGGTGGGTCGCGGGTGGGTCGTGGGCGGGTCGCGGGTGGGCCGTGGGGTGGGTCGCCGGTGGGTCGCGGGGTGGCTCGCGGATGGGTTGCGGGCGGGTCGCGGGCGGGTCGCGGGTGGGACGCGGGTGGGTCGCGTTGGACCGCTGGTGGGTCGCTGGTGGGTCGCGGGTGGGTCGCGGGCGGGTCGCGCGGTGGGTCGTTCGGTGGGTCGCGGGTGGGTCGTGGGTGGGTCGCGGGCCAGGTCGCGGGCTGGGTCGCGGGCGGGACGACGACAACAGACAGCAACAACAGCAGCAGCAATTACAACAGCAACAGCAGCAACAGCAATTACAACAGCAACAGCAGCATCAGCAACAACAGCAGCAGTAGCAGCAGCAACAACAACAAACTTAACAACATTGGCAACACCATTAACAACAACAGCAACAACAACAATCCGCATCGCGGAAGCCCACTTCAGCCACGCACCCAGGGACAGTGACTGACCATTCGGCCCCCTCACTCTGACGATGCGTATCCCTCTGCCCAGAGTGCACTTGGTACCCTCGTAGCTGAGGTCGCGGGGCACGGACGCGGACTGGAAGTGAACAGCTTGAACGGGAAACTTGAACGTTCAGGCTGCGGCTGCGGAGCATGAGGAGGAGGAGGAGAAGGAGGAGAAGGAAGAAAAGGAGGATGAGGAGGATGAGGAGGAGGAGCAATAGAGTGATCCCAAACGCCCCGCTGTGACTGTGTTCGATCCCTCCTCTCCCGTTCCTCCTTCCCCTCCTCCCACTTATCCTGCTGCTAAACATGTTCATTCTCATCATCATCATCATCACCATCATCAGCACCATCATTACCATTACCATGACCATTACCACTACCATCACCCTTTCCATCATCATCATCATCATCATCATCATCATCATCATCATCATCATCATCATCATCATCATCATCATCATCATCGTCGTCGTCACCATAAGCATAAGCATCATCATCAGCATCCCCACCATCCTCATCCTCATTCTCATCCTCGTCCTCATCATCACCAGCATCATCATCACCGTCGTCGTCGTCATCGTCATCATCATCATCATCACCATCATTGTCATCATACTCATCATCACCATCAACATCAGCATCATCGTCATCGTCATCATCCTCATCAGCATCATCATCATCAGCATCGTCATCGTCCCCATCATTGCCATCATCATCGACACCACCACCATCATCATCATCATCATCATCGTCGTCATAATCATCATCGGCATCTTCATCGTCATCATTATCGCCATCATCGTCATCATCATACTCATCATGACCATCAACATCAACATCAACATCATCGTCATGGTCATCGTCATCATCATCACCAACATCATCATCATCATCGTCATCACCAACATAACCGTCATCACCACCACCATCATCATCATCATCATCATCAACATCATCATCATCAACACTACCATCACAATCACAATCACAATCACAATCACAATCACCATCATCACCATCATCACCAACCCCACACCATCATCATCATCATCATCATCATCATCATCATCATCATCATCATCATCATCACCATCATCATCATCATCACCAGAACCGTCATCACCATCACCATCATCACCATCATCATCATCATCATCATCATCACCATCATCATCACCATGATCACCATCATCACCATTACCACCATCACCGTCACCGGGACCACCATCCTCCGCCTCCTTCTCACCCTCCTCTTTCTCTGCCTCCTCCTCCTCCTCGTCCTCCTCCTCACCCTCCGTTGAGACATCGTGCTGTGAAAGAGCTATGTACACATCCGTAACTGTGGATTTTTTACTGACTGGTGTCTCCAAATGTCCCTGGATGTCTCCAGGTCTCTGCAGGCCACCCGGGGTCCCGGGACGCCACCGCAGGCCCTAAAAGGCCCTGCGAAAGGTCCCGCTAACCCCGACCCTCGATCCTCGAGCCTGGATCATCGATCCTCGAACCTCGAGCCTCGGTTGGCAAGGCGAGGCCAGTGCGCGCCTGGGCGATTTCGCTGATCAGGGGCCTCGCCTCCTGTCCGATCTTGTCGGTGAGCTCCAGGCGCAGGTCCGTGGTGCAGAACTCCACGGGGGGGGGCGGCTCTACTTGTCCTGGCACTCCTCTGCCTACCCTGCCATTCCTCCTCCTCCTCCTTCTCGTCCCTTGTTTTGCCTCCTCCTCCTCCTCCACATCTTCCGCCTCCTCTTCCTCCTCCTCCTCCTCATCCTCCGTAGAGGGAGGGGAAGGGAAAATTTATGTCTGTCCTCCTTCGCCTCGTCCGCCGCCATCTCCCCTCTCCCCTCTCCCCTCTCCCCTCTCCCCGCTCCCCTCTCCACTCTCCCTTCTCCCCTCTCCCCTCTCCCTCCCCTCTCCCCTCCCCCTCTCCCCTCTCCCCTCTCCCCTCTCCCCTTTCCCCTCTCCCCCTCTCCCCTCTCCCCTCTCCCCTCTCCCCTCTCCTCCCCCTCCTCCCTCCCTCCTCCCTCCTCCCTCCCTCCTCCTCCTCCCCTCCTCCTCCCTCCTCCTCTCCTCCTCCTCCTCCTCCTCCTCCTCCTCCTCCCCTCCATCCCTTCCATGCCCTCAATGCCCTCCTCCTCCTCGTCCTCGTCCTCGTCCTCGTCCTCGTCCTCGCCTCTCTCCTCCATGCCCTCCTACTCCTCTTCCTCCTCGTCCTCGTCCTCCTCCTCCTCCTCCTTCTCCTCCTCCCTCCTCCTCCTCCTCCTCCTCCTCCTCCTCCTCCTCCTCCTCCCCCTCCTCCTCCTCCCCTCCATGCCCTCCTCCATGCCCTCCTCCATGCCCTCCTTGTCCTCCTCCTCCTCCTCCTCCCTCCATGCTCTCCTCCTCGTCCTCGTCTTCCTCGTCCTCCTCGTCCTCCTCCTCCTCCTCCTCCCTCCTCCTCCTTCAGCCCTCCCTCGCACAGCACCGTCTTGGCTCCAGCTCGTCGCGCCGCAGACCCCGCTGCCGCGCCGTCCTGCTGCCAAGGTTCGCCAAGGATGCTCCCGCTCGGCGCCGGCGCCGGGGGCCTTTCGGGGGGCTCGCGGCTGGGCTCGCCGCCGGCGGGCCGCGCGGCTCCTGCAGGCGGCGGAGGGCATCCTCCGATCGGCCGTGGCGCTCCTCTCCGCGCAGCCCCGCCCCTGACGCGCCCGCGGACGCGGCGAGCCCCTCGACGGCCCCGCCGAGGCGCCGTCGCCCGAGAGGCCGCGGCGGCGTGGCAGACGGTCAGAAACTTTTGCTCGGCGTGTCGCTGCCGCGGCCCTGACGACACGCTGTGCCCTCCGAACGGATGGCGTGTCGTTCCGCTCCGCGGGGCAGGAGGCTGGGAAACACCCGAAGCGTTGACGCCTGGGGTCTGGGATGCGGACTGCGTGTCGCGCCGACGCGTGGTGGGCCAGAACCGGCGGCGCGACACGCTAGGCCAAAGTTCGTGGCCGTAGTATACAGTGGAGGCCAGTCCACAAGAAACTTTCCACATGAAACCCAACCCTGAGACCGCAGGACGTCGATTAATCTTTGGTGTGGGAACGTCGCGCTCTCCGTCGCAAAACCATCGGAACCCAAGAAACCCAGGGCACCCTGGAGGCAAGCAGGGTGTTTCTTGGCATGGGCCTCCACTGTATTATGAAGCAGGTCGAGGAGGCGGAACGCGCCCTCGTCGTGGCGGCGACGGCCCCTGTGGCGCATGGGGCGGCGGCGGGCCGCCTGGCCGAGCACCGTCTCCGCGAGTCACTGGGGGGGAGCTGCGCGTACGCGTGTGCGTGTGTGTTTGCGAGCGTGTGTGTGCGTGTGTGTGTGTGTGTGTGTGTTTCTGTGTGTTTCTCTCTCTCTCTGTGTGTGTGTGCGTGTTTTCGTGTGTGTGTGTGTTCGTGTGTGTGTGTGTGTGTGCGCGTGTGCGTGTGTGTGTGTGTGTGTGTGTGTGTGTGTGTGTGTGTGTGTGTGTGTGTGTGTGTGTGTGTGTGTGTGTGTGTGTGTGTGTGTGTGTGTGTGTGTGTGTGTGTGTGTGTGTGTGTGTGTGTGTGTGTGTGTGTGTGTGTGTGTGTGTGTGTGTGTGTGTGTGTGTGTGTGTGTGTGTGTGTGTGTGTGTGTGTGTGTGTGTGTGTGTGTGTGTGTGTGTGTGTGTGTGTGTGTGTGTGTGTGTGTGTGTGTGTGTGTGTGTGTGTGTGGTGTGTGTGTGTGTGTGTGGGTGTGTTGTGTGTGTGTTGTGTGTGTGTGTGTGTGTGTGTGTGTGTGGTGTGTGTGTGTGTGTGTGTGTGTGTGTGTGTGTGTGTGTGTGTGTGTTGTGTGTGTGTGTGTGTGTGTGTGTGTGTGTGTGTGTGTGTGTGTGTGTGTGTGTGTGTGTGCGTGTGTGTGTGTGTGTGTGTGTGTGTGTGTGTGTGTGTGTGTGTGTGTGTGCGTGCGTGCGTGTGTGCGTGCGTGCGTGCGTGCGTGCGTGCGTGTGTTTGTATGTTTGCAAGCTTCGCCGCAAATGGGAGGCGTCGACGCCCCGCCACGCTCGGCCTCGGCGCCGCTCCCGCGCCGGGAGGTTGGCCTCTCCAGGGGCCGGGAAAGACAATGCGCCCCCCCACATCAACAACCCGCTAGGTGCACGCGAAGTCACAGCGAGAGATGCAGCCCAAGGTCACTCTCGTCCCCTTTCATCAAGCGGACTCACATATCCACAACTCTTCACTCAATCATCTCGAGCCCGTCCGTCCGCAACGTCGACGCCCATGGGATATCCAGTGTACGGTGTACGGGTTCCTTGCTTCCACCAACCGATCTCGCCGCTGTCGACGCATGCGTTTCCTGACTGTGTCCGTACGCGCTCCCGAACACTCTTTCAACGCCCTTTTCGCCTGGCGACGTTTGTTTGTTTGTTTGCTTGCTTGCTTGTTTTTTTTTTGTGTGTGTGTGTCTGTGTGTGTGTGTCTCTTGCTCTTTTTGCTTGGAAGCGCCTGCGCATGTTTTCTGTAAGCCGTTGCGCCTTCTGCTCGGCGACCTGCTGCCAATGCCTCGCTGCGCACCACCCACGCGGCTCCGCCGCCAGTGGTGCCTGCCTTCTCTTTTTGCGCCCCGCCCTTGTGACACGTGGCATGCCCCACGTGTCGCCAGGTGCGTCCGGTGCCCTTGCACGAAGTTTGCCGCCTGAGGCGGCGTCGCGCCGTCAGCTCGGCCCTGCTGGCAGCCTCGCGACGTTGCAAGACGGCCGTCGCGGGCTGTCTCTGGCTCCCCGTGGCGCCCGGTTCGGCCGCGGGACGCGTCCGTGCGCGGCGACACCGCCGTGCTGTCACGCGTTTGCGGCCGCGCGACTCTCGCGCTCAGCCGCCTTTCTGTGGACGCGTATCCTCGCCAGCTGTATTGAGCTCAGCTGCTGGGCTTCTGAAGCGTCTGGTAGGTCATGGGGTGGCTCGGTCCGCTGTCCGGTCGTTGTCTGTCATGCCGCTTGGCACGACAGCGCGTCTCCTCCCGCGGTCTTCGCTGCTCCGCTTTCTCCCCCTGTTCGTCTGCGGTGGCGGCAGTGGCTGGGTGGTCCGCCTCGGCTCACGGGTGCCTGTGCGGGGGCACATTGCAATCGCGGCGGGCCCTCCGCAGCGCTTGCTCAATTTGACTTTGTTGCTTGCGGAATTGCACGCGTTTGATCCAATCGTCTGCATGATGTCCTGTTTGCATGCGGATACTTAGGGAAGGAGCATCAGCGTCGTAGTTCGACGCTTTTTATTTCCGGTTTCCACGCTGTCGTGGTCTCGCTACAAGCTGTCCGCACTCCGTGCACCGCCACGGCTTTACAGTCTTGGTTTGTTGGCCTACACCCTACCAATCTGTTGCAGTGATGGTTGTGTTGGTGCGCACCTCACTAAAATATGTTGCCGTTTTGGGTCAGCGTTTCATTCCACCCATCGGCTGGTCT